GCGAGACGATCGAGGTGGTCCCTGTACCATGTCGGAATCGACCCTATCCAGTGCTCAAGTGCTCAAGCTTAGAGGCGGTGGCATGGCCATGGGCGTAGATGTACGGCCGAGGCGGTTGGTCGATGGGGGGGGTGCGGCGGCGTCACAAATCCGACGGCAGAGCACCGGGACGCGGTCGTGCGATCTGAGGTCCAACTAGGCGTATGGATTGCCCACCCAGGGCTATCACCTGGACCCATCAACAGGCGCCTGCCCCCCCCCCCCCCCCCCCGGGCGCGCGCCGTGCTCAGGAGGTGTTGTTCACACCTGCCCAACCATTTTAATGAAGTCCGGTCTTTTTGCGTTGCTCGCGGCCGTCGCCTCTCCGGCCGCCGGCTTCAGCGTCGGCGCTCGCAATCCGACTGGCTTCAGCGGCGCTGGCGCTCGCACGCCGCTGCACCGCTCGCTGCCGCCGCAGCTCGTGCTTGGCCGTGTGCAGCGATTCGTGAGCAATCGCGTCATCTCGCCGTTCAAGCGGGACCAGATCGCGGAGGAGATCGAAGCTGCAGTCCTGACCGACGAGATCGAGGACGCGATGCCAGAGCCCGTCGTGCTTTCCGAAAAGAAGCTGACGGCTGCCGATAAACTGCTCGTAAAACTCGGCGTGAAGACGGAGGACGAGTGCGTGGTGCCGGAGGAGGGCGAGGACCTGATGGAGCAGATCAAGTGCGCCGGCCGCGCGGGCATCGTCTCCTACGTCATCTGGGAGTGGATCTTCTGGATTGGCGCTGGAGGCATCGCGGCAGTCACGTACTACCAGGCGACGGGTGGCTGGCCCGACCTCAGCAACCCCGACGACCAGGCCAAGGTCGGAGCGTCGGCGTTCGCGCTCGTCAACGTGGCTCGCTTCGCCGTTCCGCTGCGGATCGGCCTCGCGCTGTCGACGACGCCCTGGGTCGACGAGAACATCGTGTCTCGCTTCACGTCGGGCGAGGACGACGACGACAAGGACGGCGGCAGCGGCGGCGAGGAGAAGGCCGAGCAGGCGGCCCCTGCGTAGAGCAGGCGGCCCCTGCGTATGCCGCCGTAGCGGGTGCTCGCGGCCCTAAGGTCCTTCCACCACGCTGTTCTGTACGCAGAGGGCTTCTAGCAGAGTGCGGTGACACGATTGCGCAGCGCACTTGTCGCGTCTAGCAGCGCGCATCATAGAGCCGAATAATGCACCGCGATACGGCTACATGTGTATCATGTGCAATTCAAAGGCCAAAGCGAAACTCCCTCTATCCGCCTTTGCCCCCCCCCGCCCTCCGCCGCCCCTCACTGACACACCCCCGACACGCACTTACGTGGCTGGGTTCACAGCGATTGTAGGAAAATGACGGGAACACTTGACGGCTAGCTTGACGGTCGCGGCCTTCCGACTCGCGCCTCCGCCTCACTGGCACTATTGTAGCCCTGGCCGGTGCGCGTGCAGAGTTGAAGTTCCGGAGTAAAAAATCGAACGCGTTCTCTCACGGTGACCAAAAAATGTCCACCTCAGAGGCACCTCCGGAGGCAGGCCGCCGCACGCCGGCGACACAGCTCCAGCTGTCGAACTGACCCGCAGCTCCTCTCAGAGCGGGAACTGTGACAAAAGTTGACTGAGGCGGTTGTCAGGAATCATCATACGGATCACATGGTGACTCTCTCATGACGGGAGACCGCCCGACCACTCCTGGGTGGCACTGCCACCGGTGTCGCTCGACGTCCTGTCGACAGCGTGCCGACAGCGACACATACCACGTGGGACGCGTCGAGTAACGACCTCTACTGCTTACCCAGCCTTCGAGTGTATCCTGGCTGTGGTCCCACACCCACTGGTGTCCATCTCAGAGACCGCAGGAGGTCATGAGGGTCGATGGGAGTGCCATGAGTTGCATGCAGTACAGAGTAGCAGTGGTGGGGAGTAGCAGTGGCGACGCTTGCGCCCCCCCCCCCCCCCCCCCGCAGAATGGTCAACTCGTGTCTACTCGCCTCGTCGGCTCCATCGGCTGCCTCTCCTCGTGCGCCGGCTGCCTCTCCAACCGCTTCTGCAGCGCCCTTCTCTGTCTGTGCCCGGTGCTCGCACTGATCGCACTGTCGCTCTGCCGAGAGGGCCAGGCGTCAGGCGGAGCGGCGGGCCCTTCGTTACAGAGACAACAAAGACATTGCATTCTCGGCTGTTGTTGCAGATAGAAAAACAATTATGGCGCGCGTGCGCGCAAGTTCTGCTAGTATAAACAAAAATCGGCGGGATTCGCGTTTTGGCGATGACTATTACAGGGATGGGAGCGTGCGCCATGGGGCTGCTTGCTCTGCTCCATATCGCCCAGGCGGCCCTGGGCCTCTGCCCCGGCACCGCTGGCGTGACGCTGCTGCGAAAAGAAAAGACGACTAGCGCATCACACCCCTCTCCTTAAAATCCCTGTGTGGTGGCGGCGTGCCGTCCTCCCATCCCTCCCTTGGGTTGTCTGTTTTCTTTCTTTCTTTTCCGATTTTGTTCAACCCAGCATCCACACCCTTTAACCATACGGCTTTATGTTACGGCTTTATACACGGCACACGAGCAGGAAGCCGACGGAGGAATGGGATTTTCGTTGCACGTTTATACACCAAGTAGAGACGAGAGCTCATCAGGGCATCGGTACGCATTCCACATAGACAGAAAGTGGGCGGGAAGCACCTGATCGCTGCGCCACCCACCCTCCACGGACAGTGAGAGTGTGCTGCTGTGCTGAATGCAGCGGCGACCGAACGAGGCTAGCTCAGTGCGCCGCGCCTCAGCGGTTGGTATCCTGCCACACCCACGACACGGCCTGCGCAACGGGCCGCACCACGCCGGCGACGTCCGCGAGGCAAGCGAGGGGCAACGGCTGGTCGCGCCGCGGCCGGACAGTCAAGGCGTGCTCCTGCGCGATGGCGGGGCAACACGGCGCGAGCGGCAAGCTGAGCGGGTCGCCCTTTGGGTGGAAGTTCGCCCATCCGCCGCGCAGGTGCGGATGCTTCCGCTGCATGGCCGCTGTCGGCACCTCCAGCTGGTTCAGTCCCGGCACACTCCCCCCCGCCGCCGCGAGTAGAGGCAGTGGGGAGCCCAAAGTGCACAAGTAGGAGAGCGTCTCCCCGCGCTCGAGCGGCGTCGTGCCCGCCGCCGCGCTACCCGCCGCGCCCGCGCCCGCGCCCGCGCCCGCCGCCGCCGCCCCTTGCCCCCCCGCCTCCGCCCCCACCCCCGCCATCGCCTCCGCCTCCGTCTGCGCGCAGGCAGCGCCGCCGGCGCCGCTCGAGATGCGACTCAATGCCATGTCCGTCCTCGCCGCCGCCTCCTCCTCCTCCGCCGCCGCCTGGGCGCGCGCAAAGTAGTCGAGAACAAAGACCGAAGCGAAGCCTTGCGCCACGACACAGAGCGGCAACTCGCCGCCCGAGCCGTCCTCGCCGGCGAACGCGCGCAGCGCGTCCCGCACAGCGCCGCTCAGCCGCCGATGATAGCTGCCGCCGCCGGTTCCGCCGCCGCCATCCCCGCAACCCTCCTCGCCGCCACCGCCCTCTCCACAGCCGCTCCCTCCGCCGCCGCCGCCTCCGCCTCCGCCGCCGCCTCCGCCTCCGCCTCCGCCTCCGCCTCCGCCTCCGCCTCCGCCTCCGCCTCCGCCTCCGTCGCCTCCGCCTCCGCCTCCGCCGCCGCCTCCTCCACCGTCGCCTCCCGCCTCGGCAGCAAAGCGGGTGAGGTCGAACATTGCCTCGCGAGCCTACGAGAAGTGAATCAACCCGCGGGTGAGCATGGGAGGAGGCGAAAGCCGAGCACACAGTCTCGCGCGCCGCGAGATTGTCGAGCCCGTACGCCGCAAAGGGCGCCAGCTGCTCCGCGCCCTCCGACGGCCACGCACAGACATGCACGCGCAAGGCGGCGGCGACGTTGACGCGGCTCCAGAGCAGCTGGCGGGAGAACTCCTGCGTGAGTCGCGCGGCGAAGTCGGCCGCCTAGGGTTAGGGTTAGGGTTTAGGGTTTAGGGTTAGGGTTAAGGGTTAGGGTTTAGGCTTTTTAGGGTTAGGGTTTAGGGATTAGGTTTTAGGGGTTAGGGTTTAGGGGTTAGGGTTAGGGTTTAGGGTTAGGGTTAGGGTTAGGGTTCGGGTTCGGGTTCGGGTTCGGGTTCGGGTTAGGGTTTAGGGTTAGGGTTAGGGTTAGGGTCAGGGTTCGGGTTCGGGTTCGGGTTCGGGTTCGGGTTCGGGTTCGGGTTCGGGTTAGGGTTTAGGGTTAGGGTTAGGGTTAGGGTTCGGGTCCGGGTCAGGGTTAGGGTTGGGGTTGGGGTTAGGGTTCGGGTGAGGGTGAGGGTGAGGGTGAGGGTCCGGGTTAGCCTCCGCAGGCTCGCGCTGCGCCACGCCCGACGCGAGGACGAGGAGGAGGGCAACCTGCTGCTGCGCCTGCACCGGCCTCGCCGCGATCATCGAGGCGTTGTAGACGGTCCGCACCTGCGGCGGCACGACGCTGCATCAATATGCCCAATGGCAGTGGTGGTATGGGCTGTCAGCATGGTCAACAGCGCGCGCACACACCTGCGGCGGCACGAGGCTGCCGCCATATCCGCCGCTCGGCATCACCCCCGTCGACAGGAGCGGCGTCGTGTGCTTGGCGAGGAGGCGGCCCTTTGTGGAGCGCATGATCTTCGCGTCGATCTGCTCGTTAAAGAAGACAATCTCGAGCTCGGGCTCCGCGGACGGCGCCAGCCGCGCCTCCAGCCACTGCGTAAACGTCTGCGAGCGGGAGATGTGGGGGAGATGTGGAAGAGATGTGGAGGAGATGTGGGGGAGATGTGGGGGAGATGTGGGGGAGATGTGGGGGAGATGTGGGGGAGATATCGGTGACGACCTGCGAGCGGCAGAACATCTCGAGCCACTCGCGCGAATCGCTGCCGAACCGTGCGATCCTACGATTAATTAGTAATTAGTAGGTAATTAGTAGGTAATTAGTAGGTAATTAGTAGGTAATTAGTTAATGATGAGTTAATTGGTAGCTAATTAGCTGCCGAACTGTGCGATCCTACGGTGGTGAGCACTCAAGCTCATGATATGCTGGCGGGAAGACGGTGTTGTGCAGTGTGCTCGTCGCTGAATAGAGCTGAGTACGCGTCCCCTCGAGCGCTAGTTGGGATAGAAGAACCCGTCTTCCGCTTCTAGGGTCCCCGGCCCGTCCGTGCTGCCAGATACGGGGAGATACATGGGGAGATATATGGGGAGATACAGGGGGAGATACGGGGACAGAGTCCGCTTCTAAGGCCCGCCAGCGGCGCTCGTCGAAGAAGTCGACGGCCGCGGGCTGCTTGATGGTGGAGGACGGCACGATGAGGAGCTCCTGGTGGCGAGATGAGGGGGAGAGATGGGGAGAGATGGGGAGAGATGGCGAGGGCACGGGTAGCAGGCTCCTGGTAGCGGACCATCATCGAGACAAAGAAGCGGAGGAAGCCGGCCTTGATGCGGCTGACCGCGGCGGCAACCTCACCCTCGCTCATCTCCGCCAGCGATCCGGCCGGAGTCTCGAGTGCCATGTCTGGAGGCGGCGCCATGGAGAAAGCGGTGGCCATGCGTCGCCCACGGCCACTGCCGCCGCCTCCCCCTCCCCCCCCTCCTCCCCCGCCGCCCCCGCCGCCGCTGCTGCCCCGCACGCTCCCTCCGTCGCCGCCCTCGGCGCCGCCCTCCGTGTCCTGCGACTGGCGGCCGCTCGCGCGGCAAAAGGGCGCGAGGGCCTTGTACAGCTTGTGGTACTGCTTCTGCGGCAGCCGGATCGCGCGCGCAACGTCAGGGTCGCAGACTATCGAGCTGGCGTCGAGGTCGACCTGCACGACACCCGTCGTTCACAATAACTAATGACTAATAGCTAATCATCAGTAGTTCAGAGCTGGCGTCGAGGTCGACCTGCACGACACCCGTCGTTCACAATAACTAATGACTAATAGCTAATCATCAGTAGTTCAGAGCTGGCGTCGAGGTCGACCTGCACGCCGTCGTCATTGATAACTGATACTTACTAACTGAGGACTAATCATCAACAGTTAGAGAGGTCGACCTGCACGACGTCGTCCGGCACCAGCCCCCCCTGCTCCGCCATGCCCAGCACCTCTTCGTCGATTCCGATCAGAAAGGGCACCGGCGCCTGCAGTGAGCCAGTCAGTGCTACACACGTCCTAGCAATGGACGACGGTCCCACACGCACACACACACGCTGCTGATGAGTACAGTGAGTCAGTCAGTGGTACACACGTCCCTCGCACGCAGTGGGTCAGTCAGTGTTACACACGTCCTCGCACGCAGTCCGTCAGTCAGTGGGACACACGTCCTGGCACGGACGACGGGGCACACGCACTCGCGGAACACAGGGGGCATTGCACACGAGGCTGTTGTGTGCGTTCTCAGGGAGAGGCATGACCAGAGAAGGGCACCGGCGCCTGCAGAAAAAGAGAAAACAGGGCATCCCTTCAGCCTCCCGAGAGTTGAGGCAGGCACCGGCGCCGGCGCCTGCAGAATGTCGAGCAGCGACGCGGGGAGGATCGGGATGTAGACGTGCTGCCACGAGAACGGAAAGAGGAGAGCGCAGAGCGACTCCGCCGCCATCGTCAGCACGTGCGTCTGCCGGGCCTGTTCACACGCCTCGCTGTGAAGAGACGCCGTTCACAGCCTCGAGCAGCGAGAGCGTCTCCGCGCGGTCGGCCTGTTCACACGCCTCGCTGTGAAGAGACGCCGTTCACAGCCTCGAGCAGCGAGAGCGTCTCCGCGCGGTCGGCCTGGAGCAGCACCTTTTGCTCCGCCAGCAGCAGCGCCCACAGAACGATCACCGAGGAGACGTCGAGGCACTCGAACAGCAGCAGAAAGTCGCGACCGGCCATCGTGTGAGGCAGCTCGTTCGCCGGAGGGATGACGACGTGGATGGAGACGTTCCCCAGCGGGACGTCGACTCGCCCGCCGTAGTCTGGCAGCGGCGTGGTGAGCAGCGGGCGCAGCGACGCCTCCGTCAGCATGTACTCTGTCGACGCGGGGTCGCCGCCAGAGAGCCGCATTCGAAAGAGCTGCCGGCAGCAGCTGTTGAGCGCCTCAAAGATTGGAGCAGACGAGAGCAAGCAGATGGCCTCTGGCGCGTGCAGCTCTCCGGCCAGCGCCCTCTCCGCGGCCCGCTCGACGCCGTCGCACTCGGGCATCACCTCGTCAACGCACGCCTGCACCACCCCGTCGGGCAGCGGCTCGTACCACACGATGCACGCGCCGTACATCCGCGACTTATCCGACGCGGTCAGCACAAAGGACGTGACTTTCGGGATGGCGTTGGCGGCGGCGACGGAGGCGTTCACGAGGCGCACGCCGTGCGGGAAGCAGAACATGGCCACCTCGGGCGCGAAGCGGACGCCAGGCCGCTCCTCCAAAGGCAGGCGCCGCAGCACCGACGGCTCGAACCGGGCCTGCAGCAGGAAGGAGCCCTCCGTGCGCTCCTCCGGCCGGCTCGTGCGCGAGAGCGCGAGGCGCTCGCGCACGCCGACCTCGCAGTAGTAGTAGGCGATCGGACTCGCGTCCGATGCGCAGGCCATCAGGGCTGATGCTTTCGGCGGTCCTGGGCGGACCTGTCCAGCAGACGCCGCTCGCGCGGCCGGCAGAATTCTTAAGATACAAGCCTCTCTCACAGCACACTGGCACGACAAGGCGCAGACTGGCGCGGACTGGCACACACACAGGCTCACCACCGGAGCCGCCTAAGCGACTCCGTTAAGAACGGCAATGCACTCCGCACCATGCACAATGCCGCTCTCCCCGCACGCTAGCTCGTTCACCGTCTGCCACGCCACGGCGGTGTGGAGGACGACAGACAAGCGCTGCATCTGCAGCCCGTGCCAGTTCTTGGTGGTCCATGTGACCTCGTCCAGGTGCTGAGCGTGCGAAAGTTTGTTGCTCAGCTGGTTCGCCGCCTCCCTCAGGGTGCTGCGAACCTCCTTTCCAAAGCCTCCGAAAGCCTCAAAATCAAACAAACGTAGATCGCAATCCTGCTGCCGCGCAAAGGGGTAATCGCCAGGCTGCTCCTTGAGCTTTCCCTTGGGGGCTTCCTCCTCCTCCCCCTCCTCCCCCTCCTCCTCGGCCTCCTCCTCCTCCCCCGCCACCGCCGCTGCCGTCGCTTCCGACGGAGACCACTTGCCGCGCCCTTTGACCAACTTGAGCAGCCCGGTCTCCGTGTTGCCAAAGCGCACATAGGCCCCCTTCCAGCCGAGCCGAATTTCACCCTCTCCATCCTTGCCCTTGCTGTTGCTCGCGAGCGAACTCGTAAGCTTCAGATCGGCAACAAGGCGCCTCATCCGGCATCTCATCGATGTCAACCATTTTTGACGACCGGATTGGGAAGGGGGTGCAGTTCTGCTTTACCATCGGAAGATGCGGCTTCAGTAGAGAAGGCAGGCACGAGGCGTTCAGCTCGGAGCAGCTTGGCCACAGCCGCGGAACTTGGAGATGCACAGATCTCGACAGAGCAACAGTGGAATCGCGGAGGGAGCACCGGCGCCGCGGCCGACGCAACCACGTCGCCGACGACGAGCTGAAAGTCGTCGATCCGCGGCGGCCACGTCCGCGGCGGCCGCCTCCACCACGGCGTGTCTTCCTCCTCCACCTCCACCTCTCTCCCCGCCGCCGCCTCCGCCTCCGCCTCCGCCGCCTCGAGGCCGCTTCCAAACGCGAGCACGTCGAGGGCTGACACGACGAAGAAGTCGCTGTTGCGGCCGCCGCGCGAGCAGCCCGCCTCGGCCGCCGAACGCAGCAGCGTGTAGAGGCCGAGCAAGACGAAGTGGCCCCCGAACTCGAGCAGCTCGAGCGGCCCGACCAGCTCGGCGACCACGCGCGGCAGCAGCGGCGCCATGGTCGCCGTCTGGCCCACCAGCACCGCGAGCAGGGTGCGGAAGGTGGTCACGTCGCGGAAGAAGACGAGCGCCTGCTCGAGATGCGCCGAGATGCGCCGAGATTGTCCGAGATGCGCCGAGATTGTCCGAGATGCGCCGAGATAGTCCGAGAAGGCTCAACCGCAAAGTTGCCGTACACCTTTGCGGTGAGCCGTACACGCTGCCGCGCGAGGAGGCGACAATCTCGGCGCAACTTTGCGTTAGCGATTCGCCGCGGCTCCGGCGGTGTGCGACTTTTGTGCGTTTTCGAAGGCTGTGGGCGGGATAGGGCTGGCTAGACCGGCCCTGGTGTGCCCTAGTGTGTTCCCTTACACCCCTGGCGCGGGAGCAGTAGCGCGGTGCGCGTCCCGAGGGCGCAGGGGCTCAAAAAACAATTGATTATGTTTTCAGCCACTTAGAGCACACAGTGCGATGTTGGTCTTCTCCACAAACGTCTCCCGCGCGGCGGTGTGCTTCGCCTGGTGCTCTGCAAGGACGTCGTCTGTGACGAACGTGTACTTCCGCTTCCCCTTGGTTCGGGCTCGACCCATGCCGGATATCTCCGACGGGCGGGCGGAGACGGAGGAGCCTTGGAGGGCGATATAGGCGCCGTGCGGCTCACGCAGAGGAACCTTTTTTAGGACCCAGCCCAAACACCGTCTCCCATCGTGTAACGTGTGGTGGTCCGGTGGTCGACGTGTGGCGCGGGTAAGTGCGGTGGTCTTGCTTGAGCTTGGAGTGGCCGGCGCCGGCGTACTTGGGACGTGAAGACGGCCAGCCAGCAGCCTCTGCGTCATACGTCTCGATTATACGAGCGGCTCGTGGACAGGTGCAGGTCACGCCGCATCTCTCCCCTCGCACCGTACACCCAGCAGCCGGAGCTGCGACACTCCGCCCCTGGTGAAGAGGCAGCGAACCCACCCGATTCTCGCTCGAGTAGCGTCTCGAGTGTGCCCTTGCCGCTGTGCGCGGTGCGAGCGAGCACGCGCAAGTAGTGCCCCCACGTGGCCCAGTGCGGCCGATCGGACCAGAAAAAGGTGCGGTGGAGGAGCGAGCTGCATCTGTGCCGCGTGCACGGGTAGTCGAACACGTGCATACGCTGTACGCTGTTGCCGGGCACAGCTCGTGTCATGAACGTGTCGTTACTCCCGCGCGGCACGACGCAGTCGTCGTACCAGTTCAGCCGCACATGCTCGACGCGCTGCTGCTGAGCTTGCAAGGCGGCGGACGCACACGGCGGCTGGGGAGCATGTGGCCTTGCCCACACAAGCAATGCGCGGTGCACGATGCTAACGCTGATCGGCGCCATCACCCCTGAGTCCTCCTCGAGCACGAAGAGCAGCGGCGTCGCCCGCCGAGCATGCGCCTGGTGGTTGAGGAAGAAAGCCAGCAGACCGCGCTTGTGCAGCCACGACTCGCTATGAACGACGCTCCCGCCAAAGGTGGCAGGGACGTGTATGTCGGCCCATGATCGCTTGGCGCGGTACGCAGCAGCGACGGCCTCGGCTGTACCATTCTTGACTCCATCAAAAAGCACGTGCAGTGTTGCTTGCGGAGAGTTACGAGGGTAGAGCACACGACGCGTTGACGTCAGCGCCTCCTGGAGCATCTCAGTGTTCGGGTCGGTCGGCCGCGGGCTTGCAGTCAATATTATCGTAACTATCACGCTGCTGACGTTGTGCCCAGTGCTAGCGACGCTGCCTTCGACGAGGTGATGTAGCTTAATTCCTTGCATTTCCTGCCATGCATCGGCGACGCGAAGATCTTTGCCGGTGTGATCTTTGCCGGTGTGCCGTCGGACCCCTCGGGGGCGGGGCGCATGGGGGCGTTCGTCGCTTGCGGCAACACGCTGCCACGCGCCCGCGAGACGGTTCTGGGCGTGGAGGGCGGGGACAGGGGTGGGAGGGTGGGACGGTGGGATCCGCGGACGGGGACCGGGACGGTTGAGGCTGTCAAGGGCCAGTACACGGACGCAGAGGGGAAGTGCCGAGAGAGAGAGAGAGAGAGAGAGAGGATGGTCTCACGCCGGTGGGTGGCACCGAGGCGTCTTGGACGCTCAGCTCTACCTTAAGCTCCTGAGGGGCGCGTGGTTGTAACCACGTAGTATGACTACAACCCACCACAGACACCCTCCCCCACTCCTCACGTGTGTTCACACCCTCACCCTCTCCTCTCTCCTCTCTCTCTCTCTCTCTCTCCTCTCTCTCCTCTTGTCTGTGCTGTCTGCCTGACTCAGGCACTCAATCTGCCGATGCGTGATTGTGTGTGGGCTGCTCCGAGGGGGCCCTCTGTGCGATCCGACGGGTAGGGGAGCGGGAGGGAGCAGGCGGTGTGAGGCCAAGGGGTACAGCCGCTCGGGCGGCGCATCGGCCATTGCACGGCGGGAGTGGTGCGGGCGGGGCGGGCTCGGTGAGGCGTCGCGGGGATCAAGGCGTGCAGCTTGCGGCGAACGTAGGCGGCGGGGCCAGCGTGCAAGTCGGGGAAAGCGCACGGCTTGCCTAGGCGTGGCACACCCGGAAGCCGTCGGGGAACGGGCGTGGGGGACAGTGCTTCTCTATCAAAAAGGGCGGCCTTTTCTTTTTATTTTGATATTAGCCTTCGATGTAATGAAACAAATGCAAGGCGGACATGGCATATCGCTCTCGGGCCCACAGACATCCCGCACACCCGCCGCCCCCGCGCGCGCCCCACCCCGGCCGGGAGAAAGGGGAGTGACAGATTGGGATGGCAACTTTTATTTTTAAAACAGAAGGGGGGGGGAGGGGGGGGGCGAACATGAGCGAACACTATCGGCCGCCGGCCTCACCCCGTGAACACGTCAGTTTCTGCTGCGTACCACTCAACGGGCGTCTTGCTCGCCAGCCCGTCCCACGCCGGCCAGCCGCCCCGCCTGTCCAGCGCGCACACACACGCCTCGCAAGCCGACGCGACGTAGCACATTCCTCCAGTAAGCTTTTCCCCGTGTTGGTGCCACCGACGTGACCACGATTGGACGCCTCTCCTCGCTACGGGTGAAGAGGTCCACGTAGCGGCGCGGCGCCATCGAGCAGCAGCGCACCGAGGAGGTGACGCGGCATTGGCAGCTTGTTCTGAAGATGACGGCCTACGCTTGTCGACATGCGCCAACGTGGCACTGCGCGGGGCTGGCAGTCAAGCAATCTCGTCGGCAGGACGGCCGAACGACGAGGCTGCGCAAATGAGGACCCGTATAGCTCATGGACGGTTACTAAATCATGTTTGTACTTTTAGCTTACTGGGAGAAAAGTGAGGGTGTACACAAACAAAAGCTTTGGCCAAAAAGGGCCCACAATGGCTGACCCCTGTGCATGGCTCTCTCTCTGGGGATGAGCTGGGTCGGCCTCCTCCGGGTCCGGAACTCGCACGGCGGGTCCGCGCGCGTCCGAGCAAGCATCCGCGGCCCGCGGTTGTCCTTTCGCAGGGCGCGACCGACATGCTGGTCCGCTGCGCACTGCCCACTGGTTCAGGGTTATTGCTGTCGACTATTCGTGCTCGCTCTCTCCTCTCTCTGTGCACACCTGCAACGCCCCCGGCCCGCGGTTGTCCTTTCGCAGGGCGCGACCGACATGCTGGTCCGCTGCGCACTGGTCAGGGTTATTGCTGTCGACTATTCGTGCTCGCTCTCTCCTCTCTCTGTGCACACCTGCAACGCCCCAGGGACTGTGCTTGGATAAATGCCTCGCAGCGCCGCTGCGCCGGTGGATTGGGCCGCAGCGCAAAAGCTCCATAGGTGCGGTGCGGAGTGACCCACGCGGCGCGGCGAGCACGTCGGAAGCAGCTCTAGAAACTCTCGAGTCTGGGTCAGAGCTTGGCTCTCACGGCCCACACACACACGCCCATCCCCCGCGCGCCCACCGCGTCCGCCCGCTCGCGCCCCTCTCAACAGTACAACACACAAGCCCCCCGTTGGCCGTTGATCACGGCATCACGCTCTCTACAGCAATGGACGTCCTCTTTTGCACACAGCAGACTGCAATCATGATCATCATAGATACTGCTATGATCGATCTGGATACTGCTATGATCATAGACGTTTGCTGAAACAGGCCCGCGGAATTCCAATGGGGAGTGCGCTCTCGCCACCGCTGGCGATAGGGACTCTTGCGTGGATGGAGCACGAGTGGATGCAAACGCTCGAAGATGATGCGAAAGCGCGTTTCCGTATCTATGAAGCGCTCAATGGACGATGTGATCACGGTGACTGCGAAAGACGATGGCGCATGGGATGTCGATCGTTTCCGGGAGGATTTCCGTGACGAGCGGCGTGCCCTCGCGCACGTCGCCGCCCGACGAGATGAGGTGAGCGCCAGGCCGCTCACCGCGACGGTCGCGAGCAGCCGCGGCCAGCCGTCGTCCGCCGACGAGGACGCGTGCGCGGAGGCGGCGGCGCCAGCGCTGCTCGCGGAGGCAGCGGCGCCCGCGCTGCTCGCGGAGGCAGCGGCGCCCGCGCTGCTCGCGGAGGCAGCGGCGCCAGCGCCAGCGTTGCTCGGGCGAAAGACGGCCGCGTACGCTGATGGCGGCCGCGCAGCAGGCTGAGGAGCGGCAGCGGCTGAGCCCGCGTCGTAGAAGGCGTTCAGAGCGCGCGCCACGTCGCCCTTCCGCCTGTCTTAGGAGCGGCAGGAGGATGGAGCGGTCTACGGCGCCGACGATCGCGGTCATCGTGGCGAGGCCCACTTCGAGGTCCATCGCTTGCATCGCGGCCTTCCGCGGCGGCCTGACTGACTGACTCAGTCAGTCGGCCGCTCGTCAGCGCGGCGGCGGCCGCGGCCGCGGTCCGCACCCGGCTTCCCGCGGGACCCCGAATTCTCAGGAATTCCTACTCGTAAAGCTAAGCTAGAGCTCGCGCCGCCGCCTCCCACAGCGGCGCGAAGAAGAATGGCGTGAAGCACCGCGCGTGCGTGCAGTCGCCCGCCGACGTGTGCAGCAGCCGCCCCCACGCCTGGCTCGCGTTGTGAAAGGGCAGCAGCCGCACGCCCGGGCGCGTTTTCACCTCCTCGGCCATGATCTCGTCGCGCCAGTCGACGCGCGGCGTCGGCGTGTCGACGCACTCGGCCTGCGGACGTCGCCACTCGCCCGTCAGGTAGTACATCGCCGTCGAGTAATTCGCCGCCCCGTGCTCGCGCCTCTTGCGGTGCTCGAACTCCCCGTCGCCGCCGGGTGTGTCGAAGTGCTGAGCGACCGTCTCCCACGCGAAGGTCGTCGGCCGGCGAAGGTCATCCACGGCCTTCGCGTGTGGGCCGGATCGTCGGCCGGAAGCGACGCGCTCGAAGACGTCGAGGGCCTCGGCGACGGAGGATCGGTAGTGGCTCGGCGAATCGACGCCCGCGTGCAGCCCTTCATTGCAGAGGGTCAGCGTGCAGCGCGGCAGCCTCTGCCTCAGCTCCTCGTAGAGAGTGGGCACGCCTGGCGGCGCGGCGAGCGCGCCGCCTGGCCCCACCTTGGACGACGCCCATCGCCACAGGAGCATCATGTGGATCTCGACGTCGCCGCCGCCGTCGTCGCGAGGCAAGCGCAGGTAACGCTCATGCGTTTCGCCGAGGATATGCGGAAGCGATGGCCGGTGTGCTGCCGCCACTGAGGCCAATTTTCCGGCGCCGAGTAATACTCGGTGACATTTGCGAGGCGTGGGTGGGTGCTCAGGTAGCGCAGCGCGCTGAATTCCCGCAGCGGGCGATGCTCCTCGGCGCCGCCTGCCTGCAAACTGCACGCGGCGGCGTCGTACACCTGCAAACTGAGCGAGTCGCCGACGAAAACGAGCGCGCAGCGCTTCGCATGCGGATCGGTCGCGAGGCGCGCGCCGCGCACCAGATCAGCGACGCTCGCGCAGCCTCTCCGTCCGCAGCCGTGCGCGGCTGATCGCTCCAGCGCGGCAAGGTGATGCAGACGGCTGTTTGCAGTCGTGCCGCCGTATCCGGTGATGTTGGCGCCCAACCCGCACGTGCAGCTGGAGCTGCATCCCTGCCAGAGGGTCGACGTCGAGCGACACGCCGGGTACGTGAGATTCGCGTCGGCGCGTCGCGAGACTGGAGACATCCTCCACGGTCCGACCGGGTCGTCGGCGGCCCTAGTGCCACCAGCAAAGGTGCGTTTGAACGGCTGTACGTCGACGACGCGAGGAACGAGCAGCTGCTGCGGCTGTGCGCGAGACGGACTTGTGGCGGCAAACCCGGAAAGTGGGTCAAAAATGACCACCAACACGTGTAGGCGCGTATCTTAGCTAAGGCTCGCGCCCTGACGTGTAAGTGCTCATGTGCACCGAGCCCATATACGCACCTGCATGTGTGGACGCGAGTATTAACTAAGATGAGCGCCCACGCATGAGGATGCGCGTCTGCGTCCAGGTAGCCCAGATACGCGTCTTCGTGTCTGGGCGCTTATCTTGAGTAAGGCTCGCGCCCACACGTGTAGCTGCGTATCTTGAGATGAGCGCCCACGCTTGTGGCGCCTATCTTAGCTAGTACTCGCGGTGTCGGCGTGGGTGCGTGGCGGTCAGCATACGCTCCCACACATGCAGACGCGAATATTAGTCAATATGAGCGCTCACACGTGCAGGCGCGTATGTTGACATACGCACCTGCGCATATGGCGCTCAAAAGTGAATAGTTTTGGGTGATACGCGCTCAAGTCGCCTCTGTCATCTGTCCCTGGCTTGCTGGGCGCTGCTTTATGGCGGATCTCCTTGATGCCGCGGATGATGCCGGCGCCGAGGTGCCCGCGGCGGCCGGGTAGCGAAGCGTTCAAACCACATGGTCAGCAACATCGAGTGGAAAGACGTGGCGACGGTCGTCGAGCCAGCCGTGGCCAAGTGTCTCAACCCCGGCCTGCGCGAGAGGAGGACTTGACGGAGGAGGCCGCACCTTCTTTGTCGTCCGCAAGCGCCCCGAGGGGGCCGCCGTGAAGTATTGGCGCTCATCTCAAGATACGCAGCTACACGTGTGGGCGCGAGCCTTACTCAAGATAAGCGCCCAGACACGAAGACGCGTATCTGGGCTACCTGGACGCAGACGCGCATCCTAATGCGTGGGCGCTCATCTTAGTTAATACTCGCGTCCACACATGCAGGTGCGTATATGGGCTCGGTGCACATGAGCACTTACACGTCAGGGCGCGAGCCTTAGCTAAGATACGCGCCTACACGTGTCGGTGGTCATTTTTGACCCACTTTCCGGGGTTTGCCACTTGTGGTACCGTTTTTCTTGTGCGAGCCTTTTTAAATCCGCAAAGGTGTGAAAACAGGTAGCGTCCACCCATACCGCGTTGGTGTCCCAGTCGTTGGTCGGACTGTGTTTCGCCTTCCCATCAATCAATCAAACAGGTCATGGTAGAGCAAGCCTGCTCTAGCCTGAGTGCCGTACGGCCGCTGTCGGTTGCCGCTTCGCAGATTCTTGTTCTCCATCTGCTTCCATTCTGCGACGCACGTTTCGACGCCGCCGATCCCGAGCGCGCGGGGCAGCTCAATCGCGTGCCCTGTGATATCCTTCACGAGCTTCGGCGGAGGCACATCGAACGTCGGCGGCATGTGATGTGAATCAATGCGCAAGCCGTTAGAATGATGGCCAGGTGCCATATGCAGGCTCGCATGGGAGCGTGAGCGGGGCGCGGCGGGCGTCGGAGGCAGAGAACGGCACTCAGTGAGCTGCTCGCGGCAAAGGTGAGCGCAGCCAGGCAGAGCGCGAGCAGAGCGCAAGCAAGTGCGCCGACTTCGAGGGCAAAGAGCCCGCCGCTTGGCGGCGGCGGAGGTGGAGGAGGAGGGCCGATGGGGCTGCTGCTGGAGCCGCCAAACGTCGCCTCAACATCGCCTCAGCTCTGCCATACTGTGGTCCTGCTTGGCGTTTTGGAGACGCTCGAGGACAGTCGCATCCCCCCAAAAGTTTGGCCGCCGAATCGGATGATAGGCTAGGGGAATCTTCAGTGTATGTAGCTCTTACGAACTTCCCATTTTAAACAACTTTTCAGCGTACGTGGCTCTTTTCCTTGGGGCGTGTGAATGCGTGCGATTTTTTTCTTTCGCGCTGGCCTTCGCCGTGCCAATTCTGACTTCAGCCCGTTTTGCGGCGCTTGCGCTTGCGCCCATTGCGCGGGCATGGCGAAGCGCACTCAGGCTGAGGCCTTCGGCTCCGCGCGAATGCCGGCGCCGGTGCCGCGGCCGCAGGAGCTGCCTCGGCCGAGTCCATCGAGCGCAATTGGCACCGAGGCTTTCCGCATACAATGGGGCCCTCCGCCTCACGACCAGACGCTGCCGAGCGCCGACGCGCCGCCGAGCGCCGACGCGCCGCCCAGCGCGCTACTGCGCCCTCCGAGGAATGCCTCGCCGCTCTGCTCGAGGAGCCTGATCCCCCGTTCCGTTGCCGTGAGGCACGCCATGGTGGACTGAGCGCCGGTGTTGCGGGTCCGTGTGTATATTCGCGTGCTGTGTGTGTTATTTTATGCTCAACTAAGAGGAGCGAACGGGACGCCGCCGCCGCAGCCGCGCGTTCGTCTTGATCGGCTGGTCGGCGGTCGCCTACGGCGCTTTAGCCGCTCGGCGTGGGCCGTGGCATCTCGGCCTGGCCGTGCCCTGGCCCGTTGCCGCGGTTCCTGCACCCTGGCGACGGGGTGGGATCCCGGGCAGGTGTGCCCGGCAGCGAACTTCTGTGCGTGTCGGCACCTGGCATCGGTGCTGTACAACGCACAGCGCCGAACACTAATTCTCACGCACACCACAGGCACACCAAGTCCACAGCCAAGGTGCGAGAGCTGGAAGAAGACCACCGTTCCATAACTTCTTTCCTCCTCATTATTTGCAGCGATTTTTCTTTTCCTCACCGGCTTGCGCGGAAAATTCTTTTCTTCGAGCAAGCCGCCGCCGCCGCTCAGCCAAATCATGTCGCTCAAGCAGACCCTGGCGTGCTTCCCGCTGACGCAGCGCGGCGCAGGGACGCCGCTCAAGACGGATGCCAAGCGCAACCTCCTCATCTACGCCCGCGAGCGCACCGTCGTCATCCGCGACATCGTTCCGACCGGCGGCCAGCCCATCCAGGCGCGGGCCGAATCCGAGACGCACGCGCGCCTCGCGGCCGCCGGTCCTCCGGCCACGAGAGAAGATACTACGCTGCTGCTCACGTCGCGATTCTGGCGGTCGGCCTGGCTCTGCTCTTCACCAGAGGCCTTCTCGCCGCCACTGCGCCTGCTGACTCGGCATCGCCCTGCCGCGTTCCCAGGTGCAGCTGTACACGCAGCACACGTGTACGGTGACGGCGGTGGCGATGGCGCCAAACGGCTGCTGGATGGCCACCGGTAACAGATTTAAATGCCGACACGCCACAGTTCCGACGGTGCAAGGGTAGGCTGCATCCAGTGTCGGCTGCATCAAACGCTTCACGCCCGTCAGCTGTATCAGCCCTCCCACGGTGCCCTCACACTGCAGGCGACGAGCGCGGGGTGGTTCGCATCTGGGCCTGCGACCACCCGGATCAAAGGATGAAGAAAGAGGAGCCGTACTACATGCTCGGCGGGAAGGTGCTCGACCTGGCGTGGAACGGCGAAAGCAACCGGCTGGCCGTGGTTGGCGAGGGGCAGCCCCCGGCCAAGGCCAGACACTTCCCAGACACTTCCCAGACACTTCCTAGACACTTCCTAGACACTTCCTAGACACTTCCTAGACATATCAGGGGCAGCCTCCGGCCAAGGCCACCGCGGTGTAGTTCTGGCGGGGGCACGCTGCCGCAGCACGCCGGGGCGACAGGACTCTGGCACACTCCACATCGGTGGCACAGACGACGGCAGACGGCTGAGTAGAGACCGACGCCGGATGGCTGTGGCGGACAGCGGCGGCCCGGCGGAGGGAGCAGCGCCTCGTCACAGAAAAACACAACCCGGGACCCACGACGCACAAGCACAGACAGTCGAGAAGGGAGAGACAGCGACGGCAGTCAGAAGTCAGCGCTGGGTCCGAGGAAGGCGAATGCGGTGACGGCCCCTAGTGCGAGCTCTCTAGCTATTGAGCTCGTACGCACGCAGGCGCCTCTTCACAGAGGTACCTGTGGGCATCATGTGGGGCCCCCATATCTCCCCATATCTCCCCATATCTCCCCATATCTCCCCATATCTCCCCATATCTCCCCATATCTCCCCATATCTCCCCAAGTCTCCCCATATCTCCCCATATCTCAGGTCATCATGTGGGACAGTGGCAACTCTGTCGGCGACATGAGCGGGCACACGAAGAAGGTTCGAGGGCGGTGATCTCCCCATATCTCCCCGAATCTCCCCAAATCTCCCCAGAGGCACACGAAGAAGGCTCGAGGGCGGTGATCTCCCCATATCTCCCCAAATCTCCCCAAATCTCCCCAGAGGCACACGAAGAAGGCTCGAGGGCGGTGATCTCCCCATATCTCCCCGAATCTCCCCAAATCTCCCCAGAGGCACACGAAGAAGGTTCGAGGGCGGTGATCTCCCCATATCTCGCACACGAAGAAGGCTCGAGGGCGGTGATCTCCCCAAATCTCCCCAAATCTCCCCAAATCTCCCCAGAGGCACACGAAGAAGGCTCGAGGGCGGTGATCTCCCCAAATCTCCCCAAATCTCCCCAAATCTCCCCAGAGGCACACGAAGAAGGCTCGAGGGCGGTGATCTCCCCATATCTCCCCAAATCTCCCCCAATCTCCCCAGAGGCACACGAAGACGGCTCGAGGGCGGTGGCCCTTTGCGCAGCCGTCTCCAGTCTGCCACACGCGACCCGCGGGCCCTTGCATCAGGTGAACGCGGTGGCCTTCCGCCAGTCGAGGCCCTTTCGGATTGCGACCGCCGGAGAGGACAAGATGGCGCGTCTCCGCAGAGAGAGAGCCAGCAGTCGTGCTAGTGTTGGCGCTTTCAAGAGGCCGATGGCACGGGGAGGGTGGGGGGGGGGGGGGGTAGTCACATGAGCTCACACACACACACACACACACACACCACGCATACACACACCCTCACACACTCACACACACACACACAGACACACACACACACACACGCACACACACACACACACACACGCACACACACACACACACACACACACACACACACACACACACACACACACACACACACACACACACACACACACACACACACACACACACGCACACGCACACACGCACACACACACACGCACAACACACGACACTCGGCCGCTCCTCGAGGGTTCACGTTGGGGCATTGTTCGCCAACGGCTGGTGGACCAGGTGCGCTTCTACGAGGGCCCGCCCTTCAAGGCGTCCGAAAAAAGAAACCGATCCTGCCGAGCTGTGTCCGCCGCTCTTCACGGGCCCCACCCAGCCTGTGAACAGGCGTCCAAGGAGAGGCCGACGCTGACGAGCAAGGAGGGCGACCTCACCACGCACACCAACTTTGCGAACACGGCGCGCTACTCGCCGGACGACTCTCTCCCCATCTCTCCCCATATCTCCCCATATCTCCCCATATCTCCCTATATCTCCCCATATCTCCCCATATCTGCCCACATCTGCGCATATCTCCCCATATCTCCCCATATCTCCCTATATCTCCCTATATCTCCCCATATCTCCCCATATCTCCCCATATCTCCCCACATCTGCGCATATCTCCCCATGCCTCCCCATATCCCCCCATATCTCCCCGTATCTCCCCATATCTCCCCGCATCTCCCCATAGGTGCGGTACTCGCCGGACGACTCGAAGGTCCTCTCCGCGTCCAACGACATGACCGTCGCACTCTTCGACGGCAAGGACGGCGCGCCGCTCAAGGCGGCGAAGGTGCGCGCGGGGACCATCTACGCGGCTGTTCACAGCTAGAGGTGTGAAGAGACGCTGTTCCCACGAAGGTGCACGCGGGGGCCATCTACGCGGCGGAGTGGTCGCCCGACGGCAAGTGCATCGCCACCGCCTCGGGCGACAAGAGCGTCAAGATCCTCGACGACGGCCTGGCCACGAAGAAAGAGGTCAAGCTCTGCGCCGGCGCGAAGCCGGACGCGGGGGACATGCAGGTGTCGGTTGAGATATGAGGAGATGTGGGGAGATGTGGGGAGATGTGGGGAGATATGGGGAGATATGGGGAGATGTGGGGAGATATGGGGAGATGTGGGGAGATGTGGGGAGATGTGGGGAGACATGCAGGCGTCGGTTGACCGCGCGAGAGGAGCTGCCGCCGCTATGGCCGGAACCGCAGACTTGAGGCTGTCTGTTGATGTGCACCTAACCAGCTGAACGGGGGGGTGTGCGGGGCGAGGATTGCTCACGCAGCCGAGGCGTGATGACTAGTCTAGCCACGACTGAAGCAGTGGGTCAGTGCTGGCCAGCCGGATGTGCGAGCTGTGCGCGGGCGAACGGGTGGCTGTCTCGCCGCCCCAAACAGGTGGGATGCGTGTGGGCGACGGCGGGGGTCGTCTCGTACTCTCTCGGCAGCGACCTCTCCATCATCGACCCGGAGAGCGGCGCCGTCACGGCGACGCAGGTGGTCGCACACCCTCCCCTACCCCCCATGGTACCCGAACCCACCCTCCCCTACCCCCCATGGTACCCGAACCCACCCTCCCCTACCCCCCATGGTACCCGAACCCACCCTCCCCTTCCCCAGGGTACCCGAGGCCACCCTCCCCTACCCCCACGGTACCCGAACCCCGCAGGTGGGGCACAACCAGTCGGTGTCGGCGCTGCTGTGGGCCAAGGACCGGCTGCTCTCGGGCTCGTTTGCGACTTGGGGCGAGGGGTCGGGCAGCAAGCTCTGGGGCGTGGCGCGCAGCTCGGACCGCCCCCTCTCCCCCCTCTCTCTTCCCTCTCTTCCCCCCTCTCTTTCCCCTCTCTCCGCCCCCCTCCTCTCTCTCCCCGCCTCCTCTCTCTCCTCGCCTCCTCTCTCTCCTCTCTCTCCTCTCTCTCCGCCCCCCTCCTCTCTCTCCTCTCTCTCCTCTCTCTCCGCCCCCCTCCTCTCTCTCCTCTCTCTCCTCTCTCTCCTCTCTCTCCTCTCTCTCCTCTCTCTCCTCTCTCTCCTCTCTCTCCTCTCTCTCCTCTCTCTCCTCTCTCTCCTCTCTCTCCTCTCTCTCCTCTCTCTCCTCTCTCTCCTCTCTCTCCTCTCTCTCCTCTCTCTCCTCTCTCTCCTCTCTCTCCTCTCTCCTCTCTCTCCTCCTCGCCTCCACCCTGTCCTCCCCTCCTCTCCCCTCCTCCTCCCCTCCCCTCCTCCTCGCCTCTCCCTCGACCCAGACAGCTGCAGCTGCCGTCCCCGCTCCGGTCCCTTCACGGCACTCCTCACCTCTTCCTCTCGCCCCCCCCAGGTGCGCACCTGGGACTTGAGCACCGGCCTGGCCTCCTCCTTTGCCGGGGAGGGCCATACGAACCGCGTGCGCTCTCCGAGCCGGTCTCGGAAGTGTCTCGGAAGTGTCTCGGAAGTGTCTAGGCCACACGAACCGCGTGCTCTCTCTCGGCGTGTTCGACGACGGCACGACCCTCTCGTGCGGCCTCGACAACTGCCTAGACACGTCCGAGACACTTCCGAGACACTTCGTAGGCACGATCCTCTCGTGCGGCCTCGACAACTGCCTCATCGCCTCCACCCTCTCGCCGCAGCCGCAACACGGAGCCGCAAAGGTCCAGCTGGATGCGTGCCCCGTGTCGATGGGTGTGGGAGGAAAGCTCGCCGCGGTGATCACCGCCGCGAGCACGCTGCTCCTCGTGTGAACAGCGCCTCTTCACACCTCCAGCTGTGAACAGGTGGTCACCGCCGCGAGCACGCTGCTCCTCGTGTGAACAGCGCCTCTTCACACCTCTAGCTGTGAACAGGTGGTCACCGCCGCGAGCACGCTGCTCCTCGTGTGAACAGCGCCTCTTCACACCTCCAGCTGTGAACAGGTGGTCACCGCCGCGAGCACGCTGCTCCTCGTGTGAACAGCGCCTCTTCACACCTCCAGCTGTGAACAGGTGGTCACCACCGCGAGCACGCTGCTCCTCGTGTGAACAGCGCCTCTTCACACCTCCAGCTGTGAACAGGTGGTCACCACCGCGAGCACGCTGCTCCTCGTGTGAACAGCGCCTCTTCACACCTCCAGCTGTGAACAGGTGGTCACCGCCGCGAGCACGCTGCTCCTCGTGTGAACAGCGCCTCTTCACACCTCCAGCTGTGAGCAGGTGGTCACCACCGCGAGCACGCTGCTCCTCGTGACGCGCGACAAGCTCGGCACGGCCCCCTCCTCCATCCCCCTCAGCTTCGAGCCGGCTTGCGTCGCCGTCGCGCCCGACGGCGGCGCGGTGGCGGTGGGCGGCGCGGACAACAAGGTCCGCTGGTTAGTTGGAGTGGCGAAGACGCAGTCTGACCACGGCGGCAAGAGACGGACGGACGCTGGGGCGGCACACATCCACACAGACTAGACAATACACACACACGGTTCGCGTGCACTGTGAATGCCGTGCTAGATCCTTGGGGACGCGAGTGCCCCTACCCCTGCCCCTGCCCCTGCCCCTACCCCTACACCTCCCCATACCTTCCCTTAGGTCCGCCTGCTCACCGCGGCCGGCGGCGAGGAGAAGGTGCTGGACAAGCACATCGCCGCCATCTCCTGCCTCGCCTACGCGCCAGGCAGCAAGCGGCTGGCCTCGGGGTGCGCCAACAAGGAGATCGTCATCTGGGACGTGGGCGCCGGCACGCCACTCAGCTGGGGGCTGCAGGGCTTCCACCCCACCCGCATCACCTGCCTGACCTTCTCGGCCGCCGGCGTCCTCGCCTCGGGCGGCGTCGACGGCTCGATCATCGTGTGGGGAGACCTCCCCGCCGGCCCGTTCAAGCCTCCGCCGAAGCACAAGCTGCACGGCTCCACCACGCACGCGGGCGGTGTGTCGGCGCTCGCGTTTGTCGGCGACGGCGCCGTCCTCGCCTCGGCCGGCCTCGACGCGTGCATCAAGACGTGGACCGTCGCGTAGAGCCGCTCTACTGCTCTTGAAGGGCCTCTCCAGGTTATTCAGCGCCTCCGCCCTCTCGGCCGCCTCCTCGTCTCGGGCTCTCCTTTCTCTCCCCTCCGAGGCGAAGGGGGGGGGGGGGGGGCGCAGCAGCACAGTCCCTCGCGCCTCTCCCAAGCATCCCGCCATGTGTTGCCCGCGGCCTCGCGCATGTCAGAGGGACAGGGAGAGCTCGAGAGGACCGCGTGCGGTGCCCAACGTTCCGCAGAGTGTCTATTAAAAGGAAAACAGAGGAGCGGGCCGCGGGCAAAGAAACCGGGCCCAAGCCGTGTCTTTGTTCCGGCACACACTTTACTCTGACATCGCCCCCAGAAAAGGCAGCTGCCCAAGCCCAGCAGCGAGGCGCTGTCGTACGGGGTGTGGACCCTGAGTTGACCAAGGGGCTGCGCTGGACCGACGACCCCATTTTTCGGGGTGGATTGATGAGGGGCCACCTAGGCCTTTAACGACGACTACGCGGCCCGGCGGTCGATCTGCGCCTTCTCAGCGGTGGAGGGGATGGGAAGGGTCTGGGGCCGTTTTGCTAAAACTCGAGCAAGTCCAGCTCCGGTCAGCGCGTTGCACGCAAAGCCCTCGCTCATCGCCACTTGCGCACCCCGGCAAGCGCCCCCCGGCCGCTGGGGATGAGAGGCGGCCGGGTGAGCGCGCGCGAGACGCCATTCTATATTATAGGATGCCATTCTATAATATAGAACGGGTGGGGCTGAGACCAAATAGGACCGGTGGGTGATGGTTGGGTGGCAGCGCGGTCGGTGCGGCGGCGTCACAAATCCGACCACAGAGCACCGGGACGCGGTCGGGCGATCTGAGGCCCAACTAGGCGTATGCATTGCCCATCCAGGGCTATCACCTGGACCTATCAACAGGCGCCTGCGGCGCCGTGCTCAGGAGCTATGTATGTAGAAAGATGAACAACAGTCAGGCTCGGACTGGACACCAACGCGGTATGGGTGGACGCGGGACAGATGATGACGACACGCACGAGCGACACACAGACACAAACAAGCTCACAAGACACACAGCCAGCTGGCTGCCACACACCCTGAGTTGGCGTACAGGAGCTGCTGTTCACAGCTGCACAGACCCGCGTACGCGGGTCCTTTTCGGCGGGAGCTTTCGGCGGGAGAGTCGTCGGTGTAGCAGCAACACCTGTGGCCGAGCGGCCCGCGCGCCGACAGCCCTCCGAGGCAGACAGCGAGATGCCACCGAAGCGCGCACGAAAGCGGCGCGGCGCAGCCGACAGCGTCACGGCCACGTATGCATACGGCGAGGACGCGGCCGATCCGCCTGCGACGGGCAAGCCCAAGCCCAAGACTCTCTGTGAGATCTTCGCGCACCTGCAGGGCGACACCGGCCCCAATGAGCTCCAGCTGTGGAGTAGTGCGATGCGCCGTACCGTAAGCCGAGCCGAACGGGAAGGCAAGGAGGCGCACGACGCGCTAATGACGCGGGGGCTGGACGGCCGCCTGGCCGACGGCTCCATGCTCGTCAAGAGCAGCTTGGGCTACCCTGAGAGCAGCTCGCTCTCTTGCCTGGAGCATCCATCTCTGATCCAGATGATGCTTGGGCTGGCGGCTGCCAACGGCGATCATGTTACTGAGGAGGAGATGCGTGAGCGGATCTCGTCGCAGATGCAGCGCGAGAGCGAAAATAGCGCGGCACGCGCGCCCACAGCGTTGCCTTCGCGCCCCGAGGCCTCGACGCTGCTCTCGCGGTTCGACGCAGCCGCGACTGAGGACCCGCTGGCGGGGCAGAGTGAAGTGCCCGCGCTCGCACGCCTGCTCGGCGAGGCGCGATGCGAGGTCTCGTCCGACTTCTTGCACGGCGACGTCCGCTGCCTCGCCGCCGCCGGACCTGCCCTCGTTCTGGCTGGCGCAACCGGGTACAAGCATCGCGAGCCGTGGGCTAAGCGGTTCGCGCCCAAGGCGATCGAGCCGCGTTCTCTCGCCGAGTGCGCGGCGGCGGCCCTTGTCGGGGCGGCCGAGCCTGCATCCCTCGAAGCGTGCGCCTCCGCCCTGAGCGGGAGCGCGTCCGGGAGCGTGCTCGAGCAAATGACGCAATACTTTGAGGTGGAGGAGTCGTACACAGCGTCCGACCCGGCGGCCGTGAAGACGCTCTTCTCGTCGTCGGTGCGCTCTGCGGCCGTTGACCCGCACTCAGGCCTGACGTGGCTTGGCGAGGCGTGCGGCCGCCGGTTCAAGGCCTTCGATGCGGAGGGCCGGTGCTGCTACACCTTGGACAGCCCCTCGACCGACGCGCTGGCGGTCGCCGCCCACCATGGCGCGAGGGTGCTCGTCGCGCCGGGCGGGGCCGGCAAGCTCGCCT